CCCCCCCCCCCAGTTTTATTTACTCCTCAGGAAAGGGCTTTTGGAATTGGACAGCAAAGCACTCCCCGGGACCAGATAGGTTTCTGGTGTGGCGCCCGCAGCTGTGGTGCTCTGGAGGGATCCGGGTCATTTCAGGACAAGTAGTGAAGCCTGGGGAGAAAGTACTTCCAGGTTAGCAGAATTCGTGTGCCGCCTCCACAGGCCACCAGGGGGACCCTCCCCACAGTCTCCGCCAGACGAATCCCCTGTGGCCCAGTGGGGGCTTTGGGCAGAATCTGGCCAACTCAGGACAGTGACCCTTACTTGCGGTTTCCTCCTTTAACACTGAATCGATCCTAAGTAATCAGCAAATACCCACAAATGTCCCTTCTGGTCACAGATCTGCCTGGGAATGACAGGGAGGGACCTTCACAGGGGTGGGGGGGCCGAGCAGGCACCTGTGGGCTGTCCACCTTCAGGTTGGGAGCTGCAAGGGGCCGTCCACCTGTTTGTGGGTGTCTTAGGGCCCGGGCGCTTGGGCACTGGGGCTCCTGCTCAGGAGTCTGAGGCCGTCCAGACAGAGCGTTCTGAGAGGCTCCGGCCTGGAGTCGGGGGGTGGTTCAGCCCTGCTCCAGACCTGGCTTTCCCCTCTGAGAGCAGCTGAGCCAGGCGGCAGGGGTGTGGTCACACGTGTGTGCATAATGGTGTGGGGCACGCAGGTATACATGAGTGTGCATGTTCATTCATGTGGTGGTGGCGGGTGGGGGGGGTTGGGGACTGAAGCCCAGACCGTGTGTTTATTTAGACTTCAGCAATGTCCATGCAAATCTCTTTCCGGAGGACCCAGGCACTCCTGAGTCTGGGGGTCTAGCCTGGGACCATCTTGACAAAATTTGCCCTGGGTGCTCAGGAGCCCCCCTCCCCACCCCCGCAAGGACTGGGATGCTGAGAACACACAGCCTCATAGCTCGGAAGGGTTGTTGCCTTTATTAAGGGTCCACTGTGTGTCTGTGTCTGGAACTGTCCACAGCTTCCTGCCCTCAGCTGAGCCCCGGTGCCTGCTCAGGAGAGGCCGGGCCTCGTGCCTGGGGAGCCGGACTCTCCCTGCCCTGATGCCACCATCTCCCCGGGGCCGGAGGAGGACCCTAGACGTCCAGGCCCCAGGGCGTCACAGAAGACCCAGGCCGAGGAGGACGGTAGTGAGGAAGGCCAGCAGGGCCCCTGGCTGCTGGTGGAGGCTGGGGGCCTCTGAGTAGCCGTACATCGTCCTGCAGGAAGCCTGCAGCTGGTCCGCCGGGATGGGCTCCTCTTCGGGACTTTGTGTGTGATCGCTCACCTGGGGACAGACACTGCTTGGGCCGCCTGCCCGCCTTCCGGCAGAGAAGGGCGGGCGGGTGCACCGGCCTCTCCTTACCTGTTCCACTGCCTCAAAGACCCTGAGCAGGTTGTTGGCCAGGGCGCCCCTGACCTCCGCCTCTGTCCACCGCCTCCTGAGTAGCTCAGCCACCAGGTCTGGGTACTTGGACACATCCTCAAGCCCCACGGGGAGCCTGAGGTGAGGGCAGAGAGAACCAGGCCCTGCATCCCAGGGGTCAGGGCCTCGGGCCTGTCCACCTCCCCACGACCCCCTGTGGCCCCCACCCCAAGGCATCGGGGGGTCCAGTGCAGTGGCCTTCAGACCCAGACGTGCTGGGCCCGTCCGAGCTTCAGACCCTCATGACATGTTTGGGCGGGGGCGGAGGTGGGGTGGGGTGGGGTGGGGTGGGGGACGTGGTGTGACCTTCCCAGGTCAGCCACAGGATGTAGGCCTTGCCCCTTACCTTGAAACACCATCAAAGTCCCCACCAAAGCCCACGGCTCCAGCTCCTGCCACCTTCTTGATGTGGTCCAGGTGGTCTACCGAGGAAGGCGGCGGGTGTGGGTCCCGGGAGTGGCCCTCCCCCGCCCAGCTGCCGTGGCCACTCACACGCACCAACCTGCTACTTGGGATAGGGTGGCTTCCTGTCTGCAGGAAACGTAGTCGTTGTAGAAATTAACCATCACCAGGCTGCCCGTCTGGTTCTGCCCAGGAGAACAGTGGAGCTGTGGGCACGGGAGGAGGCGGGGCACTCCGGGACCACCGCGGGGAGGGGCAGGGAGGGAGGGCCGGCCCGCAGCCCCTCACCACCAGCCGGAGCACGTC